TTCTTATTAAGAGAATTAGCTAAAGGTTTCTGCTGAGGATGGTTTTAAGGATGATAAGACTCTCCTGGAGACACCAGGTAGGAGGCAGCTGTGGTAAAGTGGTCAAGTGTTGATAAATCCTGCCCTAGGGCAGTAAACGCAGAAGGGAGGTGGAGCAGGAAGGGGAGGGGGGAATTTCAGCAGATCCAGCGATCTGATGGGTACTGTCTACTGTCTTAGTCTGTTTGGGCTGCTGTAACAAAATACTGTAAACTGAGTAATTTATAAGCAACAGAAATTTACCACTCACACCTATGAAGTGTGGAGTCTAGGCAGTCCAAGAGCAAAGTGCTTGCAGATTCAACATCTGATGAGGGAGCCCCTTCCTCATAGATGGTGCCTTTTCACAGGTCATGGGAAAGACAAGCAGCTCACAAGTGCCCTGAGACCTCTTCTTTATAAGGGCACTGATTCTGTCCATGAAGGCAGGGCTCCGCTGACCTTATTTCGGAATACCACCACGGAGGAGAATAGATTACAACAGGAGACTTTTGGAGAGAGGCAAACATTCAAGACCACAGCAGTTGTGGGCGCTAAGAAAAAAAAAAAAGAGTTCAAAACAACCTCAGGATTTCTGGCATTAACAACTGAATAGCAGTACAGACCCATAATCTAGTCTCACAAATCTCTGAAGTTAAATGCTTTTTAAAATTCAGAAACTGTTTGGAGACAGAAAGGTTTTATGGTTCACAAATCCAATATCAAAGTGTTCTTCCAGCAGGGCCTGGGGCAATGTCATATAATCAACCAAAGTACTATTTCTATGGAAAGACATACCCCACCAAGTGGGATAGGTGATGGCCTCCTGGCAATTCACTCCTGTTTTGTTCCAAATGAGTTCCACTTTCACTAACAAATGAGTCACACACAAGCTTGTGGTTTTCAAAAGCTGATTCTGGAATTGTGGAGAAGTGGCAATTGAACCAATATCCATAGATCATACACCAGGAGAGAAACAGGTTGGTTGGTCATTGATGGAGAGAAGGTTCTGCTCTACATGTCTATAATCTCAATGACTTTGACAACCTAAAGACATTGGGCAGGTAATCATGCAGATAAGCAAATCAGTTTAGAAGACTTTGAAACTGAAACAATTATGGAGAAAAGGTGTTCCTAGGGAAATTCTCTAGTTAGTGCCAAAACTATGAGCCCAACTCAGAGAATGACTCAGAAGTTTCACCTAATTGTAAATAGTGACTAATGACCTAGAATTCAGAATCCTACTTGTCTTTGCTTTGCCCTAAATTAATGCGCTTTGGTCTTTTGCCTTTGCTGGAATTAACTTGAATTCAGTGTTGCCATGACAGTACATTAGTAGTGTTAAAGTTACCTTAAATATGTAACACTAATTACTCTGATATTAAGTAGACGAATACTTGTATAGGTAATTTAAAATACCACCTTTCATCTCAATCAAATCTTATAATAACAAAATATGTTATTGCAAATGTATTTTTTTCACTTTATGGACCAGAGAACTGAATATACTTGAAGATGATTTGGGTGCTATTTATTCTCAAAATATTAAAAATGGTATTATTTTCTTTAGGAAAAAAATTCCTTCTACCAGGAATGTGAAAGCAAGTTAATATTGAAAGCTTCTATGGAAGGCTTACTTATCCAATCAGAGTTTACTTCCCTACAGATCACTTAGGAATCTAACTTAATCTCACATACTAGTCTATGTTAGGGAGGTGGTATGTAAATCCTGTAACCTGCCTCTTATACTTGCATAATAAATAAAATGTAATATAGGGGCTGGGGCAGAGCGCAATAGGTTAGTTCTCTGCCTATGGCACCAGCATCCCATATGGGCGCCGGTTCTAGTCCAGCTCTCTGCTGCGGCCTGGGGAAGCAGTGGAGGATGGCCCAAGTCCGTGGGCCTCTGCACCCGCGTGGGAGACCCGGAAGAAGCTCCTGGCTTCAGATCGGCACAGCTCCAGCCATTGTGGCCATCTGGGGAGTGAAGCAGCGGAAGGAAGACCTTTCTGTCTCTCCCTCTGTCTGTAACTCTACCTCTCAAATAGATAAATAAAATCTTTTAAAAATGTAAAATATTAACAGAATACAAAACAAATCATAAACTGGGCTATGTTTTTTTCTAAGTTTTTCAGACTCCACTGAAAACTGTAACTCAGTCATGAAGCTTAGTTAAGAATACAGCTGAACATAATTATTTTTCTCTCTCAAACTTTCACTTGATGTTGCTTCAGAATCTCCTGGTAATTTTCTTGTCCCTAAATACACTACAGCATGCTGAGAACCCATTTAAAATACAATAATGTACAGTGAGATCCCATGCAGTTCCTAATGTTTGAGAGATTTAATCTAGCAAAAGGTCCCAGAATCTGAAGCTCTGTAGTAAATGTTTAATTAGGATGACAGGATGACGTTAGGAAAAAAGAAGTTTGATTTCTTTTGTTGTGTGAGTGACACACAGTAACACGGCAGAAAATTCAACCAAAATAACGCAAATCCAATAGAACAGCAGTACTTTCACACTGTGGGCTCTAGGCCATTAGTGGTCATAAAGTTAATCCAGTGTGTTGAGATCAATTTAACAAAATAGAGAATACCTATGTTTTAAGCCAAATATTATTTTGTGAAACATTTCATTTATATGTGCACACAGTAGTGTATACCAAGTTGAGGCACAAGATGCATTTTGTTTATTTCACTGAGGCCTGCAGGGAAAGAAAGGTTTAAAAAAGTTTGGTGTTAAGGAGGTAGGTAAACAAAAAACCTAGAGTGCTGCAAAATGGATAAAAGACACTGGGTTGCTGACTCATAAAATATTTTTGAAGTCAATATAAGATCAGAAGACTAAGTGATGCTGTTTGTTTTGACTCAAAAAATGAACAGCAGCTCTGAAATACCAAGAAAAGATCAAAAATCATGATCCGTATGGCATCTTCAAAACACAGGACATCCACAAGGAGAGGAAGGACGCAATGGCCTCAGTGGGTCTTCATGGAGGCTGACATCCTTTGGACTAGTAGAAATTAGGGTAAATTAGAGCTGAGCAAAGAACAATCAACTCTTCTATAATTAGAAGGGGCTTACACAGTACTGAGAAAAAAATGATAAACATCTTATAATAAGTGAGAATGTAGGTGGAGAAAGTAAAGATACAGGAGCTGTGAGTCAAGCCATTGGAATAACAATGCCATCTGCAGTACTAATTCACAGAGTGAGAAGTTACAACATCTCTCATGACTGGTGCTGTGGCATAGCGGGAAAAGCTGCCGCTTGTGATGCCAGCATCCCACACTGGGCGCTGATTAGAGTCCCGGCTGTTCCACTTACAATCCAGCTCCCTGCTAACATGCCTGGGAAAGCAACAGAGGATGGACCAAGTGTTTGGGTCCCTGCCACCCACGTGGGAGACCTGGAAGAAGCTCCTGGCTCCTGGGTTAGGATCAGCTCAGCTCCAGCCACTGCAGCCATCTAAGGAGTGAACCAGTGGATGAAAGACTTCTCTATCTTTCTCTCTGCCTTTCAAATAATTTTTTTTTTTCCCAAAGCTAAGCTTCAGCTTAGCACAAACTGGACTGGTAGACCAGATCGCCAAGGTGAGAAAAGGAACCCTGGAAGGCCAAAGCTAGTGGATATTGCTGATTTCTTCAAGGCCTCTTTGCTCCAGAGAAGCAATATTTACTGTTTTACAGTTAGATTAACACTTTTTTTTTTACAGGCAGAGTGGACAGTGAGAGAGAGAGACAGAGAGAAAGATCTTCCTTTGCCGTTGGTTCGTTGGTTCACCCTCCAATGGCAGCCGCAGCCGGCGCGCTGCGGCCGGCGCACCGCGCTGATCCGAAGGCAGGAGCCAGGTGCTTCTCCTGGTCTCCCATGCGGGTGCAGGGCCCAAGCACTTGGGCCATCCTCCACTGCACTCCTGGGCCACAGCAGAGAGCTGGCCTGGAAGAGGAGCAACCGGGACTAGAACCCGGTGTGCCGGAGCCGCAAGGCGGAAGATTAGCCAACTGAGCCGCGGCGCCGGCAGACACATTTTTACTGTAGCTAATAAAATCATGTTATACATCTGCCTAAGAGGTAGGGTAAAGATAGGTGATAACACCTGCCCAGTGACCAATGAAGATTAACATACAGAGCATTTATCTTTAATTATTAAACACTAGTTAGCACATTGATTTCCCTGTACGGAGACAAGTTTAAGAAAGCAGGTGAGTCTCTTTTGAGGAAAGCAGGAAAGCCCTGGGTGAATTCATGATTATGTCCTTTTTGGCTGTGGATTTTTGCTTTTGTTTTTGTTTTTAGTTTCTAATTGCATCTTCCTTTCAAAACTACATGTACTACTTAAGGCATTTTAAATTAAATGTGCAATTGAAAATGTTCTAAAAATTAGCAGAGATAGAGCTAAACACATCTAAGGAGTGAAACTGCTACTTATTATAAATTCCCCTGTAAAAATATTGGTTAAAGCAATATAAAAAGAAAGATGCTTGGTACAAATAAACTGCTCAGAATGTTTAAACTAACAAATAGGCTCGGCTTCAGATTTTAAAAGCAAAAGTTATATTTAAAGGAACATAATTCTAGAGTGTGATTTATAACCTTATGTATTTTATTCATAATCTTGAAGAAAAAAATCTACATAATAAAAGCAAGTTGAAATGCAATTAACTCCCTGCTTTTTTTAAAACAATGGAATTTGAGTTTAAATGTAGGGTAACTTCTATACAAGTTATATATTAGCTTCATAACGTTCTCTAGAAAACAGAAAAATGGGCAATTTGATGGCAGTTCTAAAAATGGTTCTTTGCTGAGTTTGAGAGGGAAGGCAAGAAAGTAAGAGGTAAGAGCCGGTTTCACCCTCAATTCTTGGGCGTCAGAAGAGTCCAGTGAGGCAGGATTGGAATCCAGGCCAGGCACACCCAGGTTCAGACGTGGCACAACCCTGAAACAAGGCTTTTTTTGACCCTTTGAGTCATATGCCACAGGCTAACCACAGGCGCGATACACAGGTCCTCAAGTCAACAGGTCCTCGGAAGAGAGGGCGTGCGGTGGGTGCGTGGCAGTTGGGTTTCCTGCCACCACGGAGAAACCAGTTCTTCCCCCATCAGACTGGAAAGTAGGCGCAGCTCCAGCGAGGGGAGCGCACCCGGAAAAGTGCAGCGTCCAAACCGGCAGGGCGACGGACGTCCGCGTCCCGACCACAAAGCGCCTTCCAAACCGCTCGGACAGCCTGTCAATGGCTTGGCGGCCGCGGTCTGCAGCCCAGAGCTGTCTAGGGTCTGGCTGGCGAAACTGCCGGGCGAAGCCATGCCCTTCCCCGTCGCGGATTTGTCCCTGTCGGGCAGAGCCAGGGGGCAGCCGGGCAACCTGCGAGCACGCGAGGGCAACGCGGCCGCCTCAAGCCCGGCCCACGGCCGCCGGCCCCCGACTCGGAGGCCCTCCCACCTTCCAGCCCGGGGCCACCGGACGGCGAGGCCCCGCCAGGCGCTCCTGGCTGGGGCTCCCATTCAGGGTCTGAAGGGGTGACCTGGCCGCCCCCCCGGGGTGCCATTCCCTCCCCCTCCCCCCGCCGCGGGCGTCGCTTTCGGCCTCTCCCCGAGGGGCAACCGTCTCTAACCGGCGACGAGACCCCCGCCCTCTCCCCACCACGTGAACCCCCACGGCCGTCCCACCACCCCCTCCGACGCTACCAGGGGGCCACCGGCGGGATCACCCTCCGGCATCCGCGTCGGCCGGCCGGCTTACCTGGCGGGTGGGCTGGGCAGGGCAGGACAGCGGGAAGCGGCGGCCGAGCGGACGTGGGCCGGGCGCCAGGTGCAGGTGGTGGCGGCGGCGACTCGAGTTGCTGTCGCTACAGTTGCCGCTCAGTCGAGCTCCTCCTCCGCCGCCGCCTCCTGCTTCCCGCTGGGCCTCCCGCGTTGCCAGGAGAGGCCGAACCGAGCCTCCGCTTCCTCTTGGAGTCTCCCAGGTGAGCTCCAGCCTGCGACGTCGGCAGGGGCGAGGCCCCCGTCCCGCGCCTGCGCGCCAGCCTCCGGCCCCGCCCAAGCCCTACCTGAGCGCTCCAGGTGAGGACCGCGGCCCGCGAGCGCGCAGCGTGGGGGGCGCGGTGCGCACCCAGCGCGGGAGCAGCCGCTTCCCACTCCGCCGTGGGCACGGCTGCTTTTCTGCGCCGGGTGTGCCTACTCGTTCGTCTACATTTGAGAGGACCCCTGCACTGACGTGGTGGCAGTGGCCACTTGGTAACCTGAGCACACAGCGCGGGACTTTGGGGGACCTTGATCTAGCTTTCCGTCGAGCACTTCTCCCCTTCCCCCGCGGGTCGCGAGAATGAAGGGGCGCGCGGCGGCCCGGGAGCGGGCTCAGTGCCTCCGAGGAGCACTTCGGGGGCGCAGCAACGTCTGGCTCGTGTGGTTTCCTCGGGTCGAGTTCAGCGGCTTCTGTCACTGGCTGGGTCTGTGGGGGGAGCTTCCTTCGCAAGCAGTCTTGATTTCATCACTTGACTCACTTGGGTGCAGCTAGTGGTTTCCGCTTCTGCGAGCGGGCGCGCTGGTAGGGGCGCCTTACGTCCAAAGGAGGAGCCAGCCTCCTTCCGAAGAAGAACCTCTGGCATTTGGCAGAGGCTCGCTAACTTGGGGCGCACCTCCCTTTCCCAGGTCCAAAGCCAAAGCAATTCCCAGATGAGAGAAAAAGCAGCGACGGCAGAGACTCCCCCCCGCCCCACCACCACGCAGTCCTTGTGTGGAAACGGGCTGTGGTTTTCTGGACAGGGCATCATCTGTCGTAGGTTTGTGTAAAATCTGCACATCTCCTCTGGAGCGTGAGAACGCACGCTCTGGGAGGACGGTGGGTTTTGCTGCTGCAATTAAGACACAAAACTTTTTTTTAACGTGTTTTTTCCTAGTTTGACACAACTTTCTGTTTCAATCTTCTCTCTGCTGCTATGACAGATACTGACACACTCAAACCCAGAACTTAAAACGGTCTTTATACCTTCCCCAGGGCTTTTTTTTTTTTTTTTTTTTTTTTTGGCTGTATTTCAAAAGTGCACGGGGATAAGCGTTTAGAAAGATCTGAAAACGGCTTGCTGGCGCATTTAAATACATGGTGGCAGGTTTTCCTCTAACGTTGAGCTGTGCTCCTCCTGCATTTTGACACATACTCTCCTGGCGCTTACTCACGGGTGTCCTGGTCTGTGGCCTAACCTTGCGGTTCAAAATACTGCTCAGGACACTAACAACGATGCACCTCTACTTGGTTAGTCTAACACATTGGTTTTAGCTGCCACACTGTTGTTTTATGCTGCAACACCCAGGAATTGGGTTTTAGTTAGGTGATTCTGGTTTGTTTTTGGATATTGTTATTTTCTAAGCTCTAAGGAGCCCTTTGTGTGTGTGTGTGTGTGTGTGTGTGTGTGTGGTGTTTTATTGTTAGATCCTGCAAGCAATTTTTGAGCTCCCTCTCCTCCACAAAATACTTCAGGAGCTGCTTGTCTATCCTCATGTCACCAGACTAACGTAGTCGTGTTTGTCCATAAATACAGAACTGAAAACACAAACGCCCCCCCACCACCAATTTTTTTCTTTTTCATTTTTGTTTGGTTCAGAGATTTTTTACATCTTGCTTTGCTGTTTTCCTTTAAATGAAGGTTAATGTTAGTCTGTGGGGAATGTGGGAAAAATCCTAAAGGTGTAGCCAAGAAGTCTATACTTGCCATGCACCACCCAGCCCTGAATGAGGCAGCAAGCCAAAAATTTTCAGTTTTGATGTCCCACCAGCTAAAGAGCAATAATTTTCACTGACAATTGGGACACAGCAGATGGGTGTAGAGAATAGCAATCTGGACTCCAAGGCCTGAGAGGCATTGATGGGAAGACTAGTAATATCAAATGACAACTGAAAAGAGAAGCTAGGGCCGACTTATAAAGAGAGCAAGCAAGCAGGACCCAAAATGCTGCATGATGAGGGGAAAAGAGCAGGGAAAAAAACCCATAATGATCAGTAGTTACTAAAGATTGGCCATCAGTTTTATAATCCACACAGTTAATGTAACTAAGGAAAGTGGTCTCTCTCTCTGGCATTACTTATACTGTTTCATGCAACATTGCTGGCAAGGTCTTAAAATAATGAAATTTTTTCTAATTTATAATAAGATTGAAATGCTTCAAGACCCGGAAAGATATTAGTATGCTGAAATGTTGAACACCATAATTTTAATCAGACATAAGATTTTTTAAATTGTCATCCCATCCAAAGTGATGAAATAAAAAATTATTTTATAAAAGGAAAATTAGCATTTCATCAGAAAATAAAATCCAGAAGACATAATGTAGAAATGCTTCTCAGAAAAAAAAAAAAGCTTCCTTTAACAATGCGTGTTAGGTATATAATGGCAATTATGTTAAAAAAAATTGGGAAGATTTAACACAGGAAAAAAGACAAACATATCTTTCTCTTCCTATGTATTCCTGTGTATAACTACACACAGAGAACTAACCAGAAAATGTTCATTTATATATATTTGAAACAATACTCAGTGTTTAATAATATTAACATTTAAATTTATGCCAAGATCAATATCTGGCATTTAACAGTTCCTCAATAAGTACATGTTAAATGAAGCAATTGATTCATCAAATACCATAAAGAAAACAATAGGCCTAGTGTCTTAAGCAAATTACAAATACAAAGAACTTTGTTTAATGATTTCATTTATTTATGTGAAAGGCAGAATTAGAGAGAGAGAGAGACAGAGACAGAGACAGAGAGACAGAGAAAGTGAGATCTTCTATTTGCTGGTTCACTCCCTCAAATGGTGGGAATGGCTGGAGCAGGGCTGATCTGGAGCCAGCAGTCAGGAACTTCCTCTGGGTCTCCCACGTGGTGCAGAAGCCCAAGGTCTTGGGCCATCTTCTGCTGCTGTCCCAGGCCATGGCAGAAAGCTGGATCAGAAGTGGAGCAGCCGGGACTCAAACTAGTGGACCTATGGGATGTCCCTTTACCTGTTTTTCCGCAGTGCCAGCCCCCAAGGAATGTTTTAATACAATATTATAGAAAAATAGTTTGGGACAAATAAGAGTAATAAATTGGGAATCTGAAGTAGAGAGTCCTACCACTTTCCCAGGCCATAGCAGAGAGCTGGATCGGAAGAGGAACAGCCGGGATCAGAACCAGCACCCGTATTGGATGCTGGTGTCACAGGCAAAGGATTAACCCACTGTACGACAGCTCAGGCCTCAGGAGAAAAATTTAATGCCAATAGCCACCAGTCTTCACATGCCTATTTTCCATAATCTACTATACAAAACAACTTATACTCTGACAAGTTACTTTACTTTTGGGCTTAAATTTTTTCTTCCACACTCCAAGATAGCTATACAACATGATATTCAAGTTCCTTTTCATTCTGATTCATGTAAACATGCCAAGACAGTTGTCTTGCAAAAAACAAACTATAGCCCAAAAGCCAACCTTCTGGATATAAAAATAATAATAAGCAGTGATGAAACTGAAATCAAAATTTTAACTCATACAAAATTGCAATATGTAATGTAATGAGTAAAATTATGCAGACTCACTAAGCCCAAATTCAAATGTTTTTAGTTATTTTTAACTTGCTGGTTACCTGGGACTTAGCAACGTAGTTTTCAGTATACTTTAAAAACAAATTTTCCTCATGTGGGAACTGTTCTCTGGTCAGGATCTCAAACTCAAGCTGAGATATTTGGCTCAAAGACCAAACAGATTGAAATAATTTCTACTAAAAGATGTAAAAGAACTGAAATACTATTGATTCAAAAAAAAGAACAGTGGTAGTACCACAAGGAAGAGCCACAAATATGTGGGTATTTTTAAAATAATGGTTCAGCATAATGCTACATTGTATTTAAAATATTATTAGTGGTAAAACAGTGAAAACATTAAAAGTATGAACTTTTTTGAATACTGTTTTGAATGATTTTTTTTCGCCTTGAAAAATATTAACGGAAGAACCATCTCATATTTTCAAAGAGGTACACATTTCTAAGAGTGCACTTATCGATTTAAATTGCAATAGAATTATGTCTTGTTAATCTTGTATCCTTGATGCTTGGCACATAGTAGGTGCACAATAAATATTTGATGAACTATATCGAATAGAGTGCAGCGTGTCAAGCTTTTAAGCATTAGCGTAAGAGCCAAAAGAGTTGCCATGCTGAGTCAGATAAATATTCCATCTAGCCAGCTCTAAATTCCCACAGTGGCACCAAAGGAGATTTCATGCAAAACCATGCTAATAATCTTGCATGAATGTTGATCTCTGATATAGATACTGCAGGTATCCTTGACCCTTTCTTTTCCTGAGTGTATCTCTCTCTTTCTGTAAACCTTTTTTATTCAACATCTAAGCAAGTCATATTCATTACAGAAGGATCACAGCATATAGTTTGTTAGAGGAAATTAGTTTTGAAATACTCAAAATTCCTCATACCAAGATGTCTCAATGCTATCAGACCTTTCTAATTGGGTATATTTTCAGATTTTTTTGGTCATTGTTCTTGAAAATCTTTGGGCAGTAGAATGGTGAATATAGAGAAAAGCAGAGCCACGTTTGTAAAATAACACCACAAGATCACTTGGGGAAGTTATTTTGCAGCCAGAGTTTAATACTTAACATATCAATCTATATCAATAAGTTCATTTTACATCATGATTTTTGATGAGCACATGGTATCCTTTTGTATGGATGTATTTAATCAGTCATATACTGATGGACAATGAACAATGCTTCCAAATCTGCTATTGCAAGCAGTTCTATGAGGATCATATTGTTCAGCTGTTGAAACATTTATAATAATTTTCTTTATTTCTGTTGGACAAGTTTTTGGATTACAGATAAAAGGACAGTAGAGTGGTGATATTATGGTAAAAAAGGATTAAACGGCTGAGGAAAAGCAGGCATTTAGCCAAACAGTTAATCTGCCTGTGTCTTACATCACAGTATCTGGCTTAATTCCCCTTGTTAATACCTGACTCTGACTTCCTGCTAAGGCAGACCTTGGGAGGCAGTAGTGATGGCTCAAGTAAT